AACATAGACTGTCCCAGAGCACGAGGAGGCCCCTTGTTGCCATGTACCCGTTGATAGGAGGTGTTGGGTGGTGTTATTCTGCAGTGCTTTCCGTCTTCCATGTGGCTCGTGCTGCTGTGACCTGCTACGTGTAGTCTCATTGCCAAAGTCTGCCGAAGAGCTCTTGCGCAGTCGGTGTGTGCTCCAAGTCAAGGTGGACGATGTGTTTATGGTTTAGTATTAAATGCATTCCTTGTTCTTTGCCTAATTAACAGTTTTATATACACATTGGAATTGAATTACCCTTTAAGTATCTTACTACATAACGCAACCAAGTTCTATCCAGATTAAACATAGGTGTTCAGAAATTACTTTTGCTCTTCTCACAATCCCATATTATATCACCTGTCTTCTAGAGGTCAGAATTTTATAACTCTCAAAAGTTACATGGTTGTTTTCACTTCTGGATTATTATGGAGTTTAAAGATGAATGGAAAACTGCTTCTTAGTTTATTATGTGGTACAGACTTTTTTTTTCTCTTAAACCCAGGGATATGGTTACTATTTTGTCACGTAATTTTGTTTCAGGCTAAAAGGTAAATGTGTTTGCTCCAGAAACTTGTTAATTTCAAATTTTTGAATGCAACAAGATACCTCCCTTCCAAACTGTACTGTAGAGGCAGAGCAGCAGCAGTTAAGTGATGCAATACTTGATGGTACAGTAAAGTTACTGGCTAGCATTTTTCCTCTTAAAAACTTTGCCATAGACCACAGCATGGCTTGAAATGCTATGTCTGCATGATAATTTAAAATGGAAATTTTAAACTTTGCACTCCAAAAGCCTATTTGGATTTTTTTGCACTGTTTTGTGTAATGCAGAATAATGATTTTATTTCTACTGCATTGTAGATCCTAACATTATGTATCTTTATTTTCATATTGTACAGTAATTTTACTTTAAATTATTAAATAGGCTATTTTATTTATTTCAAATGCAGTTGTATTTGGTTCTAATTATTGAACTGTCTGTGCACTGTATGTAGCAAGCATTTTTAATCTATTGTACACAAGTGGAAAGGGTATTAGAAGTGTAACTGTGCTATTATTTCAATAAAGACCTCTTGACACCTAAAACTCTGTTTGTCAGAGTCTGTGGTTTTCAATTTAGATTGTTATTTTTCCAGTTGACTTGGAGGAAATGGGTCCAATGGATGGAACCTCATTGTCAGTTTCTTAAATTTCTAAAGTTCTGTTAGAACTTGAAAGTTGCATAATTTTTGTGTATCTTCTCACTTTTATCCAAGATTTGGAGAGCATTCTATTGTATATATTGTGAAAGGTGATTTATAAAAAGCCTGGCAAAAAGTACAGATTCTAACTTGGTGTACAAGGCTGTTGAATTGGGTGCTTCACCACAGAAATGAAGTCTAGGAGTATTCAGTAGATACAGATACCCACATGGGAGCACTTGGAAGACTCTCTGGGCTCCTGGCTTCCATCTGGCCCAGCCCTGGCTGGTGTGGCCTTTTGAGGAATGAACCAGTGGATGGAAGATTGCTCTTTCTCTGTCTCTCCCTCTCTGTAACTCTGCCTTTCAAATAAATAAAAATAAATTTTTTTTAATAAAAGATCTTTAAAAAAAAAATAAAAGGGCCAGCGCTCTGGTGTAGCAGGGTAAGACACCAATTCCAGTCCTGGCTGCTCCATTTCCTATCCAGCTCCCTGCTAAAGGCCTAGGAAAAGCAGCAAAGGATAACCCAAGTGCTTGGGCCCCTGCACCATGTGGGAGACCTGGAAAAAGCTCCAGGCTCCTGGCTTCAGCCTGGCCCAGCACCAGCCATTGCAGCCATTTGATGGGAAGTAAATCAGCAGATGGAAGATCTGTCTCTCCATCTCTGTAACTCTACCTTTCAAATAAATAAGCATAAATCTTTCAAAAGGAATGTCACTGAGGATAGGAGAAATGTAAACCTGTGTGACATGTGGATGGCAGTGCAGATTGGTGCAGCCAGAATGGAAAATGATGTGGCACAGAAGGGTAAGTTTCTGCTTGTCATAGCACCAGTCTGAATCCTGGCTGCTCTGTTTCAGATCCAGCTCCCCGCTAATGCATCTGCACTTGGGAAGGCAGCTGATGATGGCTCATGTACTTGGAGCCCTGCTACTCGTGTGGGAGACCAGGGTGGAGTTCTTGGCTGCTGTCTTCAGCATAGCACAGCCTCAGCTATTGCAACCATTTGGGGAGTGAACCAGCTCATGGAAGACCTCTCTCTCTCTCTCTCTCTCTGAGTCTACCTTTCAAATAAATAAAAAGAGATCTTAAAAAAAAATAGATTTACTAGGGTGGGAGTTGTGGCACCACAACTTGGGACACCCACATCCTATATCCTTTTACCTGAGTTTGAGTCCTGCCTCCATTTCTGATCCAGCTTCCTGCTAATGTGTATCCAGGAGGCAACAGGTATGGCTCAAGTAGTTGGCTCTCTGCCACCCAGATGGAATTCCTTGCTTCTGACTTTGGCCTGGCCCAGCCCCAGCTGTTGTAGGCATTTGGGATATGACCCGGTGGATGAAGATCTCTTTGTCACTCTTTCAAATAAATAAAAATAAATACATTAAATAAAAACAATTACCATATGATCCATAAAATTCTCTTCTGACATATACCTGTGAAATGATATCTAAGGTACTTCAAAAAGTTTATGGAAAATGGAATGAAAAGATAAAGAAAACCCTTGAAATCTATGCATGTGAGGGATCTTCAGAAAGAACATGGAAATGCATATTATAGAAAAAACTATGCAGAGATCTCAGAATTTTTTGCACCAAAATAATCTTTGCATTCCATTTTCTTTGACTTTAAAAAAAGTTTATCTGAAAGGCAGAATGATAGAAAGCTTTCATCTGCTCATTCACTCCCCAAATGCCCACAACAGCCAGAGCTGGGCCAGGCCAGAGCCAGGAGCCAGGGCTGCATCTGGGTCTCCCATTAGGGTAATAGGAAGCTAAGTACTTAGGTCATCTGCTGCTGCTTTCCAACTGTGTTAGCATGAAGCTGGATTGGCAGTGTAGGCTCGCTGGCACTGCCAGTGGAATTGGCACTCCACTGTGGGCTGCAGGCATCCCAAGCTGCGGCTCAACCCTCTATGCCACAACACCTGCCCCTCCTTTACTGTTTGAAGAACCTGCGTGTATGTTTTGGTTTCCGCCCAGTTGGCTCACACTCCCTCTCCAAGATAGGCAGCAGAATTTCTCTTCTACATGGTAGGTCACAGAAACTGTAATCTTCCTTCCTTTCTCTGACCCATCTTGTTTGTCAGTCACAGACCCTCATTCCCTAAGAGTAGCCCATGCCCCTGAGGAAAGAATGGAGGCCTTGCTGGCACCCCACCCAGTGTATTAGCAATCATGGGTATGCACTGAGCCCTCTACAGCAGCAGGATTGGGGAGCTTCTGGGAGCAGTGTGCCCAGAACTGGGCAAGGAAGCTCGGCTGGCCCCTGCTTCCCCCATGCCTTGCCCTATGCGTCTCTTCATTTATATCTTTTGGAATATCTTGAGTTCTGTGAACTGCTCAAGCAAATGAACCCAAAAGGGGGTTGTGGGAGCCTGTATTTATAGCAATGGGTAGAACAAACAGCAAATGACATTTAAAGTAGTGGCCATTTTTGGTAACACCAAGCCCTCAACCCTATAGGACCTGATGCTATTCAGAAATAGTTTCTGAATCACAGGACGCACAGTGGGGGTCACTGCTGTAGAACTGATTGCTCACTTGCAGGTGGGCAGAAACTTCCTCGTCTTTTGAGGTCAGGGGACTCTGCTGTGTTGATGGCTGTGCTGGCTTGGTCTTCCAACACACCATATTTTGCAATGAAATCAGGGAAATGAACGGATACTTGTACAGACATCCAAATTCAAGTTATTTCCCAACAGCCAAAAGGCACGAGCAACCCAAGTGTCCATCGAGAGATGAACAGTCAAAGAAACCAGGGCATGTTGTGCAATATTATGCAGCCCTAAAAGGAGAAACCGAGGCATTGTAACATGGATGACCTTGAGGGCATTATACTAAGTGAGGCGAATCAGTCAACAAAGATGAACGTTGTGTAAGTCCGCTTGAGGTACCTAGAGTAGTCAGATTCTCAGACAGAAGAAAGCTGGTTACCAGGGCTGCGAAGACGGGCAGTGAGTGGTGCGTGTTTAACGGCTGCGATCGTTGCAAGATGCAGAGTTTTGGAGATGGATGGTGATGATGGTTGCATAACGTGACTGTACTTAATGCCACTGACTGTACCCTTAAAAATCGGTAGGTGGTAAACTTTGTCATGTATATTGTAATTTTTAAAACCGACAGTAACGTGCACACTCAAATGTACTGAACTATATACCAATTTTTAAATGCAATGTTTAAACGTGTTTCATATCCGTTTCAGTATCGCGTCAGATCACGCTGCCAGAGACCCGGCCGACAGCTCCACAGGTGAAAGAAAAACACGTCTCACGGACGCCGCCCCGCCCCCTCGGCGGGGGCCAATCAGGGACGCGCGCGGGAAGGACGCACAGCCGCAGGCAGAGCGAGTCGATGAGGGGGCGCGAGAGACGGGCGGGTGCTCGCCGAGGCGCTCGGCGGCTGGTGCTGGGGACTCGCTGTCTTCCAGCTGGCTTGACGCGTGTCTTCCGGAAGAGTCAGGCGCGCGACCCGAGGGACGTGAGTCCGCGCTGTCCACTGTGTCATTGCGGTGGGCGGGGCTGCGGGTTGGGCCCCAGCGGGTCCCGCGGACGGCGCGGGCTGCCCGGAGGCCGCAGGCACCAGGCGGGGCTGGGGTCGTCCTCGCTCTGTGCAGCGCAGGCCTGTGGCCCGCGGGTGACCTCCGAGCTGTTTACGTGAGTGGGCGAGCGCCTGCCGGGTTATCTCCCGGGCCGGGGGCGGTTTTCGCTCTGGCTGCTGTGCGGGTGCCTCGGCGAGACTCGGATCCAGGAGCGGCCTAGGGAGAGGCAAGTGCCAAGCGAGCCCCGAGCCGCCGGGAGCTTGGTTGGCTTCGATTACCTGTGAGAGCGTGGAGGGTAAACCGAACCAGCACTGTCAGCGAGATGCTGGGATTCCGCCGTAGTTGAGTTTTACAACTCCGAATCCGGTTTGAACGTAAAAGGCTGGTCCTGACTAGTTGGTGAAAAACAGCCCAGGTTTTCTGTAGGGCGGTGAAGAGCAGGGCGTGACCTCCCAGACCTGCTTCGTTGCGATCTGGGGACTCGTTGGGAAGACGCATTATGGAGGTTGAGGGCCCCGACTCCGCGGACGAATCGGGAAACCCCTTTTATGCACCGAAGCAGGAAAGCCCCTGTTAACCTTTGCTCCATGTTCCTCCTGTGTGCAAATGCGGGTCCCGCCGTCCTCCACGCTAAGACCCTGCTCCTCCGAGTAGCCGCCCCCCCTCCCCCCGGGACCACCTGGCTTTTTGCTCTAGAGAAGCTACTTAGGTCGAGCCAGTCTGGGGTCTACCACCGAGTCCAATGGCCGAGAGCAAGTTGCTTGTTTTCCAAATTTGTGAAAGGAAGCCGATGGTCCTTCCAGAACGAGTGAATGGGTGCAACCGTGCTTGACATTGGCAATTGTTAGGAAATGAGTTGCAGATGGGTGCCTGCCTCCTCACACGCGGCGCCGTTAAGTGTTAGAAAAGGAGACGCAGGAGAGAGAGGAGGCAGAGTACTAACTTACGGCCAGACCGAGTTTATTCAGAGAAAATAAATTCGTAGATGTGGGTGACCAGCTGCCAGCGTGCACGTGGTGGAAAACGTGACAGAAGGCCCGGACCCCCAGGGGCCAGGCCTTTTCCTATTTTAGGAGGGCTAGGGGTTGGGGGAGGAGGAGGGGAATTCCTGAAACTGGTCTTTCAAGTGTTCCAGCAACTGGTCTTTCAGGTGGCCTAGGCGGGTGGGGTATGAAGGCTATAGGGTGTGAGACCCAATTGAGATCCAAGGGCATGGAATGCGTTCCAATGTTTGTTTTTTGTGCAAGGAGTGAGAATGGCTGAGGCTTAGTCTTTGTTCCATCAGTAATAAAATGTTAGCCGCTACTAGTGTATATATTCGTATTATAATTTTGACATTGTACTAAGGTGTGAGGCAGATGAAAAATGGTAAAAATAGTAGAAACTGGGGGAAAGAGACTAGTACCCACTGACAAGCAGTTGAATGGCACAGGTGAACTACATGATTACTTTGCTAATCAGAGGGAAGTCTGGGCATCTGGTCTGTGGCATCACCAGGAGCTTGTTAGGAATGCAGACTCTCAGACCCACCAGGTTTACGGAAGCAGGATCTTTGAAACAAGGTTAGTCAGGGGGTCCCAGTGACCCTGGGAGTGTGGAAGGAGGACTTGACCTTCTGCCCGCCCATCCTGGCTCACCTGCTGGTGGCCCCTCATTTCTGTTGGGTACCTCTTTGGAACTGCTTGCAGTTGTGGCAGAAAGGAACATAGTCGCCAGTAGCATGGCTGTGGATGTCACAGTCAACTCAGGTGCTTCCCGGCTTCACACGTGCCTGCCTTTGTGTAATGCCCCCCAGCATACGGTTTCCCAGTCCACTATCCCAGTCTAGCCTCCCCACACAGTGACTCTCCTCTGGAGTGTTTCTCTGTCCACTTGCCGTCACATTATGATACGGGTTCTGTCAACTGGTCTTTGCTTTGGAAAGGTTATCTTCATTCCTGCACACTCGTTTCTCTTCATGAAGAAGTGTGCAGTCTTGTTGCTTATGAAGAACCTTTCCTGTAGCCTTGATTTCAAACACCCCATGCTCTCGGAGCCTGTTCAGTTTATACACACTCCCTTTGTCGCTTAATTGACTTAACCACTTAGACTTAGGCTTCTGCCTGTCGCTCTTTCCAAGTTAGTTCCTAAATGGCCAATTCACCAAAGCAGTGACTTCCTCAACTTCCCTGAAACATTTAATACCATTGTTTCCCGCCTCTTCTTAGAAGTTAATCACCTTCTTGGTTTTCACACGTTGCATCTTTTGGCAGACCTTGCTTCTTACACTCTGTTCTCTTGCATTTGGTTCTTCCCAAGCATTAGTTCCTTTTTTTTTAAGTTCCTTTTTTTTCCAATAAAATGTGCAGTTATTTAATACTTCTAAGTGCCATCAGAGCTTTACCACAAGTGCCATCAGAGCTTTACCACAACTTTAGTATTTTGGTTTGACATTTTTAAACACAAAGTTATTTAAAATTTTTGTTTATCAGTTTGTTTATTAATATATTCAAGCAGTTCCTGTGCCCATCATTATTCCTTTGATTCATTGTGGTCAAAGTTATTTAACATTAATAGTCTTTGGGTTGTCTTTTTATGTCTGAAAAAATTGGTATTAGTTTGCTAGGGCTTCCAACACAAGGTCCTACATGCTGAGTGGCTTAAACAGTCCATGTATTTTCTTAAAATTCTAGAGTCTGGAAGACTGAGCTCAAGGTGTCACAGGGTTGATTTCTTCTGAGGCCTCCTCCTTGGCTTGTAGACGGTCTGTCTGCCATTTTGACACCATTCTGTGTCCAAATTTCCTCCTCTTCTAAGGACATCATTCCTATTGGATTAGGGCTGACCCCAGTGATCTCATGTTGATTACCTCCTCAAGGATCATATCTCCCAATATAGTCACACTCTGAGGTACTGGGAGTTAGGACTTCAGCCTATGAGCGGGGAGTGAGATTGGGAAACACAGTGTAGCTCATAATTTTTTTAGAGTTTTATTTATTTAAAAGGCACTTGACGGGGAGGGGAAAGGGAAGGGAGAGGTCTTCCATCTGTTGATTTACTCTCCAGATGCCTACAACACCTGGGGCTGGGCTAATGCCAGGAGCCTGGAAGTCCATCCTGGTCTCCTATGGGAGTGGTCGAGATCCAAGTACTTGACCTGCTGCCTGCCAGGGTGTGCATTAGGAAGAAGCTGAATCAGAATCAGTAGTTAGGACTGGAACCAGACGCTCCAATGTGGAATGCAGGCATCCCAAGTGGTGACTTATCACACACTTAAACACCCGTCCAATTCTGATTTAGTTGGCCTGGGATGTGGCTAGAACATTGAGTGTGTCATAAGCTCCTCAGGTGATTCCAGTGTGCTAATGAGAGACCCATGAATGCCAATTTCATTAGACTTATGCCTGTTTTAAAAAAGTTTTGCTAAATGTGAAATATATTTGCAGAAAAACGTGTGAAATATAAATGTTCTGCCTTAGTAAATAAAAGTCACTCTTGTGACTACCACACAGGTCAAGAAATGGAATACTGCCAGTATCCCAGAATTCCTTCAATGCTCCTTCCCTCATTCTTAAACTCAGAAGAAAAGTTTCCATGTTGATAGTAATTGTGGCGCTCACTAGAGGAGAGACTGAAGTTAGTTGTAAGCTTTGACTTTGGCTGTGGCATCTCAGTCTCACTCTGCACCACACCACATCCATCCTTAAGGTCAAAAAAATTTTTTTTTTTTTTTTTGCCAGGCAGAATTAGAGACAGAAAGGTCTTCCTTTTCCATTGGTTCACCCCCCCAAATGGGCTGCTATGGTCGGCGTGCTGCGGCTGGTGCACTGATCCGAAGCCAGGAGCCAGGTGCTTCTCCTGGTCTCCCAAGCGGGTGCAGGGCCCAAGTGCTTGGGCCATCCTCCACTGCCTTCCCGGGCCACAGCAGAGAGCTGGACTGGAAGAAGAGCAACCAGGACTAGAACCTGGTGTGCTGGCGCCGCAGGCGGAGGATTAGCCAAGTGAGCTGCAGTGCTGGCCAAGGTCAAAATTAAAAAAAAAGTTTATTCTACTTTATTTGAAAGGCAGAGCCACAGAGAGAGGGAGAGACAGAGAGAAGTCTTCCATCCACTAGATCACTCTCCAAATGGCCACAGTGGCCAGGGTTGAGCCAGGCTGAGGCCAGGAGTTTCTTCCAGGTCTCCAACATGGGTGCAGATGCCCAAAACTTGGACCATTTTCTGTTGCTTTCCCAGGTGCATAGCAGGGAGCTGGATCAGAAGTGGAGCAGAGACTTGATCTAGTGCCCATATGGAATGCCAGCACTGCAGGCAGCAGCTTAACCTTCCATACCACAGTGCCAGCCCCCAAGGGCATATTTTCGGAAGCACATACTTTGCTCTTCTGCCTCTGCTTCCCTGCATCCTATGTAACTGCTGGTTCGAGTCCCAGCTGCTCCACTTCCAATCCAGCTCTCTGCTATGGCCTGAGAAAGCAGAAGACCACCCAAGTGCTTAGGCCCCTGCACCCATGTGGGAGACCTGGAAGAAGCTCCTGGCTTCAGATCGGCACAGCTCTAGCCATTGCTTTCATCTGGGGAGTGACCGGTGGATGGAAGACCTCTTTGTCTCTTCGCTTCTGCCTCTCTCAAGCTCTGCTTTTGAAATAAAATAGATCTTTTTAAAAAAATGTTACTTGTACTTAAAATTCCATCTCCCAAGCTATTCCTCTGTGAAATTTTTCCAGTTTGTCCCAGAGTACTTTTTCATTCTTTCAGTGTCTAAAACCTTTTGAGCCCTTGTTATGTCTTTGATCATTCGCACTTGCTGTATAACAAGCATCTATTTATTGCTTGCCTTTCGTGTGCCAACCACTGGGCTGGGTGTTGGGCTTGGGGAGGTGGAGAGGTCAGTGGGAAGGGGCATTCAGATTCGTGTAAGGTGGAGAAGTTACCATTAGAGTGCAGTCGTTTCCTGCCTTGGGTGCATGTTGGAATCACCTGGGGAGGCTTTAGTAAGTTCATCACCTGGTTCCCGGGCCACCTAATTCTAATTCAGTTGCTCTGAGATTTGGCCAGAATATTGGGAGTATTTTAAACTCCTCAGGTGATCCTGATATGCATCCAATGTTAAGAGCCTCTGTGTTAATGGAACAGACAGACAATAAATGGCTGGTTTCATTGTGTGTTATGCTGGAAGAATAAATAAAGTATATGAGGAGTTCAGGAGCTATTTTTTAAAGAGATTTTATTTGAGAGGTAGAGTTAGACAGAGGCAGAGAGGTCTTCCTTCCATTGGTTCACTCCCCAAATGGCTGCAATGGCCGGAGCTGCGCCGATCAGGAGCCAGGAGCATCTTCCAGCCTAGGAGCTATTTTTAAAAGTAGCCAGGAGCTGCTTTAATTTCACAACTGGATTTTAAGCCTCTGGGCCCAGGCCTTTGTCATTTTGAGGTCCCCTTACCCTATATGTAGTTGGGTGGGCTGTCAGAGCCGATGCTGTGGCACATCAAATTAAGCCTCTGCCTGGGATACTGGCATCCCATAGATGTTGCGGTTGATTTGTTCTGAGAGGAGCGTGGTGGGGGCAAGAGGCACGGAGTCACCACACAGACCCACACAGACCCCGGGGAGTCCGGTGAAAGCGGGCCAGAGGCGAGCAGCCCACAGACTCATTTATTTCAGTTGTACAGCGACTTAAATAGCCAAGGCAGCCAATCCAGTCAAGGGGCAGTTTATGCCCTAACCAATCACAGCCTGTTGCCAGGCAGGCTCTGTTTGCCATGTGGTTTCCAAAACCATCCAATCACAGCCTGTTGTCAGGCAGGCTCCGTTGCCAGGCAGGATCCATTGCCAGGTGGGTTTCAAAGCCATTCTTGAGTAACTGATGCTCACTTGCCAGTGGCCATCTTGGCATGGCCTTCTCATTCCACCACATTTCCCCCTTTTTGTTTATTTTTGAGCAACGGGAGGCATGATTCTTGGCCATACCATTGTTGACCCCATTTCCATGTGGTCTCCATAGGCGGCTATGCCTGTCTTAGGTTGTCCCCCAGGGGATCTTACCCGTTGTTGACTAACCAGCGCTCAAAACGAGAGACCACAGGAGTGCTTGCTCAGATAGGGGTAGGAATGAGGGACAGTGGTAATCAGGAATGGCGTGACTACACACAGGCTGTGGGCCGTTTGAGTGGCTGACCAGAGCTAGTAGGGTATAAAACAGTAATGGATGTGGCTATGTGCAGTTTGTCAGGGTAGGATGATAGGACAGGTGCGTCTGCTAACAAGGCGGACTCTCAGTCTTGTTCAGCTGGTTCTGGTTGGCTGTCAGTTGCAGGCCTGATGTTTCTGGCTGGTACCCAAATGGGCTGTCCCGCATTCTCTGGAAAGACACAAGCATATCCTCGACCCTTGGTTAGCAGAGGGTGAGGTCCATTCCATTCTCCTGTCATGGGGTCTTTCCACCTAACCATAGAGGCTGCGGTCTGGGATGGAAAGGATCCCAAGTGTTTTATAAGCTGGGCTGATCCCTTGGGAATCAAAAGAAAGAAAATTGATAGTGAAAAGGACCTCAGTCAAAGCAAGCTGTGGGTCTGGGGGCATATGATTGTTTTTCTGTCTTTGTAAGAGATCTTTAATCGTCCTATGTGTTCTTTCAATGATTGCCTGTCCCTGTGGGTTGTATGGGATACCTGTGGCAGACTGTATGTTTCAGAATTTCAGGAAAGAATTAAATTCCTGTGATGTATATGCTGGCCAGTTATCAGTCTCTATGGTCCAGGGGACACCAAGGACCAACATGGCTGACTTAACCGCCTTTATCACATTACTAGCCTTTTCTCTGGATTGGGCTTGCCGCTGGCAAGCGAGCATCAGTTACTCAGGAATGGCTTTCTCATTCCACCACACATAAGGGCACTGGTTCAAGTCCCAGCTGCTTCACTTCCAATCCAGCTCTCTGCTGATGCACCTGGGAAAGCAGTGGAAGAGGGCCCAAGTGATAGGAGAACTGGATTGAGTTCAAGGCTCCTGGTTTTGACTTGGCCCAGTCCTGGCCATTGTGGCCATTTGAGGACTCAACCAGTGGATGAAGATCTTTTTATCCCCCTCGCTCTGTAACTCTTTCAAATAAATAAATATTTTTTAAAAAACAGAGATGTTTGTACTGTCCCAATTCAGTCGTCACTAGCCACATGTGGCTCCTGGCAGCCATGCTAGACAGTATTGAAGAGAGAACATAGTGTTTAAATTATTCACTACACAACACACAGGCTCAGATGGGCCAGGTTATTTTTTTCCTCAGTGATTTTGGAGTTTTTCATTTGAATATTTTATATTTTTATTCAAGAGGTGGAAAGACAGAGCTCTTACCTGCTGATTGACTCCCTGAATCACCACAGTGGCCAGGACCAGGCCGGACTGGGCTGGGCCAAAGCTGGCAGTTAGGAACTCAGGCTAGGTATCTCACGTGGTTGGTAGGAACTGAACCACTTGATCTATCCCCTGCTGCCTTCTAGGGTCTGCATTAGCAGGAAGCTAAAATCAGGAACTAGAACCAGGAATGGAACCTAAGTACACAGGTATCTTAGGTGCTAGGCCAAATGTCTGCCCCCTTATTTTAATCTTAATTTCATACCTTTCTTACTAATCATTTTTTTTAAAAAAAAAAGGGGGGGGGGAGTGGTTAAATACCTGTTTTTTTTTTTAAGCAGTCATACAATTCACCCAGTTTGCAATTCAGTGGTTTTTAACTTACTGACATATTCCGAACAGTTTTCATTACCTCAAAAAGAAACCCAATACTCTTTATCTGTAATCCTTCTATTCCTTCTTACCACCAGCCTTAAGGTACTCAGTGGTCTACCTTCTGTCTGTGCCTGTTTTGGACCTTTCATATAAACAACCATATGTGGTCTTTCATGACTGGTTTCTTCAACATGGTGTGTTTTCAAGGTTCATCTTTGTTGTAGCGTAGCATCACTACTTCATTCCTTTTATGGTGAATCTGTTGTGTGGTTTTCACACATTCTGTTTATTCATCAGTTGTTGGAGATTTGTGTTATTCACACCTTTTGGCTATTTTGAAAAATTCATGTACAAGTTTTTGTGTGAATATATATTTTCATTTTTTTCCCAGTTATATACGTAGGAATTGTGGGACAATGTGGAAAACACCTATTTTCCTACTAAAAATTTTTTTGTGATATACATATATATTTAATTTCATTTTATTTGAAAGGCAGAGAAACAGATCTTCCATCTACTGGTTCACTCCCTATATGGCCACAACGGCTGGGTTCTGGGCAAGCCAAAGCCACGAGCTTGTTACTCAATCCAGATCTCTCTTGTGGGGGAGGTGGTGATCCAAGCACCTGAGCCATCACCTGCTGTTTCCCGGGGTGCCCATTAGCAGGAAGCTGGGTTGGAAGTAAAGAAGCCTAGACTTGAACCAGGCACTTCGGTATGGCCTCCCAAGTGGCTACATAGCTGCTGCATAAAATGCCTGCCCCATGTTTTTGTTTTTATATGTGAATACCATTTTGCTACTTTCAAAACCTTATTTTGAAAACATTTCTTTATTTGAAAGGCACGGTGACAAAGTGATACCTTCCATCTGTTTACTCCCTGAATAGCCACAACAGCCAGGGCTGGACCAAGTTGAAGCCAGGAATTCCATTCGGGTCTTCCACATGGGTGGCAGGTATACAAGTATGTTGACCATCACCTGGTGCCTCCTAGGCATGTTAGCAGGAAGCTGGATTGAAAGTGGAGGGCCTGGGACTTGAACTGGCATGCTGATAGGGTATGTGAGTGCCCCAAGCAGTGCCTAACCCACTGTACCACAACTGCCCCTAATTGTTTTATTTTAACGGTGGGAGGGTGGGGCTGGAAGGAGAGGGAGAGAAAGAGCTGCCATCCACTGGTCCATTCCCTAAATGCCTGCAGTAGCTGGGGCTGGGTCAGGCAGAAGCCATGAGCCTGGATCTCAATCTGGGTTTCCCACGTGGGTGGCAGGGAAAGTTTTTTTTGTGTTTTTTTGTTTTGTTTTGTTTTGTTTTGACAGGCAGAGTGGACAGAGAAAGAGAGAAAGAGACAGAAAGGTCTTCCTTTGCCGTTGGTTCACCCTTCAATGGCCGCCGCGGCCAGCGCGCTGCAGCCAGTGCACCGCGCTGATCCGAAGGCAGGAGCCAGGTGCTTCTCCTGGTCTCCCATGTGAGTGCAGGGCCCAAGCACTTGGGCCATCCTCCACTGCACTCCCTGGCCACAGCAGAGAGCTGGCCTGGAAGAGGGGCAACCAGGACAGAATCCGGTGCCCCGACTGAAATTAGAACGTGGTGTGCCGGCGCCGCAAGGCAGAGGATTAGCCTAGTGAGCTGCAGCGCCGGCCGGGAAAGTTCTTGAGTTGTCACCTGCTGCCACCCAGGGTGGGCATTAGTAGGAAGGTGGGATAGGGAGCACAGCTGGGACTTGAACCCGGACAATCCAGATGGAATGTGGCTGTTCCAAGTGGCATCTTAACCACTATGCCAAATGCCCACTCCCATTTTGCTATTTTTGTTTTTATGAACTTTCCATAGTTGCTATTCAGAAAGAGTTAACACTAGAAGGAAGTACCATTTTATAAAATAATTTATTAAAAAGTATTTTTCATGTCAAAATTATTTTAGCCTTATACAGGATGCTGTGTTCCTTACTCCTTTGTGAATGTCTCTTGCTGGTAACTGGTTATGCTCATGATGATGAGTGGATTGACCCCACAGACATGCTTAACTATGATGCTGCTTCAGGAACAATGAGAAAATCTCAGGTAACGGAAGGATGGATGTGTATGAGCCCTTATCAGTGCTGTGATAGAAATATCTGCTTTTGTTATTTTACACAGAGCCGTGAGAGTCCTGTATCAATGATTAGCAGTCGTAGAGAATATCTTCCTCGCACTCTTAAAGTTTGTTTTATTTATTAGGCAGAGTGACAGAGAAATCTGCCATCTGGTGGTTCACTCCCCAAATGCCCATAATGGCTGGGGCTGGACCAGGCTGAAGGCAGGAGCCAGGAACTCCATCCAGGTTTCCCGCGAGGGTGGCAGGACCAAGTATATTGGCTGTCTTCCACTGCCTTCCCAGGCATGTTAGCATCTTCCTGACACTTGTAATCTAAGACTATTTAAAACTCAGTCTGAATTTGAATATAAAGTCTCTTAAGCAGCAAACTAATTTGATTTTAGTTCTTTATAATGCACATTGTAGTTCTTATTAAATACATTTGTGACTTTTACTTTTTTGGTGGTGTTGAGCAAGTGGTATGATGAAGTCAAAAAATTACTAACTGAAGGTTATTTTACAGTTGAACTACAAAGGAATAAAATCTTTCTACTTTGTTTTAGGTGAATTATGGTATATCCCCGAAAAAGGATGCCAGTCCTGACTCATCAGATGCTGATGAAATGGCAGAATGTTACCGCAGACTTGATTCTTTAACGCATAAGGTTAGATTTTCTTTTCTATTCATAAATTTTATATTATTTATATTCAACTTCTATTGTCTTAATATTTTTCTAGTGTTTCTGTGTATAATACATTTACATATGTAAAAATTATGTTTGCTAACTCCAGCCTTGGATTTTCTAATTGTACTTTGTATTTTATATAATAACATTTCTCTCATTATGTTGTAATTATTTTTTATTTATTTATTTATTTTTTGACAGGCATAGTGGATAGTGAGAGAGACAGAGAGAAAGGTTTTCCTTTTTGCCGTTGGTTCGCCCTCCAATGGCCCCCGCGGCCGGCACACTGCGGCCAGCGCACCGCGCTGATCTGAAGGCAGGAGCCAGGTGCCTCTCCTGGTTTCCCGTGGGGTGCAGGGCCCAAGCACTTGGGCCATCCTCCACTGCACTCCCTGGCCATAGCAGAGAGCTGGCCTGGAAGAGGGGCAACCAGGAAAGAATCCGGCACCCCGACTGGGAGTAGAACCCGGTGTGCCGGCGCCGCTAGGTGGAGGATTAGCCTGTTGAGCCGCGGCGCCAGCCTATTTTTTAAAAAAGATTTAAGAGGTAGAGAGAAAGGTCTTCCATCTGCTGGTTCACTTCCAAATGGCTACAATGGTTGGAGCTGAACCAATCTGAAGCCAGGAGCCAGGAACAACTTCTGGGTCTCCCACATGGGTGCAGGGGCCCAAGGACTTGGACCATCTTCTGCTTTCCCAGGCCACAGCAAAGAGCTGGATTGAAGTGAAGCAGCCGGGATGGTGTTTTTTTTTTTTTTTTTTTTTTTTTTTTTTTAACAGGCAGAGTGGACAGAGAGAGAGAGAGAGACAGAGAGAAAGGTCTTCCTTTTCCTTTGGTTCACCCCCCAAGTGGCCGCTACGGCTGGTGCGTTGTGGCCAGCGCGCTGCACTGATCCAAAGCCAGGAGCCAGGTGCTTCCTCCTGGTCTCCCATGCAAGTGCAGGGCCCAAGGACTTGGGCCATCCTCCACTGTCTTCCCAGGCCACAGCAGAGAGCTGGACTGGAAGAGGAGCAACCAAGACAGAATCCGGCATCCCAACCCGGACTAGAACCCAGGATGCCAGCGCCACAGGCGGAGGATTAGCCTAGTGAGCCGTGGTGCCAGCCGGGATGGTGGATTTTGTACAAAAGGAAGTAAATGGGGGTTGTTAAGGGGTTTGAGCATATCTATTATTTGCTGTGGGAGCTGCTCTCTATTAGTCATGAGGGCAGAGTGGACTCATAGCAGTGTGGAGGGTGCCGGAGTGGGTGGGGAGGAAGTGGTAGTGAGATCATTAGGGCTTACAGCAGTCCAGTCAGGCGGAAATGAGGCAGTGGCAGAATTGGAGAGGCAAAGTTAAACTTTTATAGGGTAGAATAGGCAAATGCTGATAGCTCAGGGAAGGGCGCTCAGGGATAGGGAGGAGCTGGAGAGAATGAGTGAAGTTTCCAGCTTGAGAGGCTGGGAATGGTTTATTGAGATTCAGATATATCCCAATCAATATCTGTAAGCACCTGTTTGTGATTCTTACCAAATCTGAATGTTGTCTCACCTTAGTCCTAGCAAAGGCATACTTGGGTAAAATTTTTTTTGATTTAACCGTATTTTGTGGTGAGCTAGTTTGGTTGCACAGTATGAAATGCAGAAATAGGTTTTTTTTTTACAGATTTTTTTTTATTCTGCTTATGACTTAGGTTCAACTTTGTAAAAACATGATTGGTAAGATGGAATCTTGAGTGTTCTTTTTAAAGATTTATTTATTTGAAAGAGTTACACAGAGAGAGGAGGAGAGGCAGAGAGAGAGAGCGCGCGCGCGAGAGAGGTCTTCCATCCGCTGGTTCATTCCCAAGATGGCTGCAATGGCTGGAGCTGTGCTGATCTGGAGCCAGGAGTTTCCTCTGTGTATCCCACATGGGTGCAGGGGCCAAAGGACTTGGGACATCTTCTACTGCTTTTCCAGGCCATAGCAGAAAGCTGGATCAGAAGTGGTGCAGCTGGGTCTTGAACTGGTGCCCATATGCAGGCACTTTTTTTTTTTTTTTAAGATGTATTTGAAAGAGAGTGACAGAGCGGAAGAGATCTTCCCTCCTTCCATCTACTGGTTTACTCTCCCAGTACCTGCAACAGCTAAAGCTAGGCAGGCTGAAGCCAAGAAACAAACTCCATCTGGGTCTCCCATATTTGTGGAAGCAGGAACCCAAGTACTTGCACCATAATCCGCTGCCTCTCAGGCACATTAGCAGGAAGCTGGATCAGAAGCAGAGGTGCCAGGACTTGAACCGGGCACTCTGATCCAGGATGAGGGTATCTGAAGTTGTGGCTTAACCAGCTGCACCACAATGCTGGTCCCAAGTTCTTGTTTTATAAAAAAGTTATTTAAGATTTAAACACTCCAGCAATAAACCTTAGCTGAAAGCAGGTGAAGCTACCATGTAACTTCTTGAGTGTCCTCCTGTCTCCAAGTCTGTGTGCTGCTCAGTGATTGCCATGTGTATCAGCTGAAGCTCATTTCAGGTGCTCAACTCATAATCCACACTTTGTAATTATCAACCTTTTTTTTTTTTAACTAAGTTATTTTATTTCTGTGTAATATCCACTTCCCTCAGTAATTTGAGCACTGTGGTGGTGGTAGGGTTAACTTCAAAGGACCTCCACATGAAGAGTTATGGTCTAAAGGGTTACCATGTGTAGCCATGGTTCCTGCCTTCCCAGCATCCCATTTAGTAGAGGATGATCCATCACTGATGAAAAAGATTAGGAAAAGTTCAAAAGTAATATGCGTGTTCAAGAAGAATTTTTTTTAAAGATTTATTTATTTATTTGAAAGGCAGAGTTACAGAAAGAAGGAGAGAGAGAGATCTTCCATCTGCTGATATACTCCTTAAATGGCCACAGTGACTGGGGCTGGGCAGGACTGAAACCAGCTGCCATGAGCTTCTTCTGGGTCTCCTATGTGGGTGAAAGGAGCACAGATACTTGGGGGTCATCTTCTGCTGCTTTCCCAGGCTGTTAGCAGGGAGCTGGATTGGAAGTGGGGCAGTCAGGGACTTGGACTGGTGCCCATATAGGATGCTGGCATCAGAGGCAGCAGCTTCACCCTCTGTGTCACAATGCCAGCCCCAAAGAAGTTCTTGATTGTGTTCATTTCCTCTTCTGGCTTAATCCTGTTTGTTTCTCTGTCCATCCCTCCATGTGTGTGTGTGCATTTTTATTTATATTTCTTCCTCCTTCCTCCTTTTTTCTCATTAAATTACTGCTTTGGATTGGAAAGAAGCAGGTTGGTCCAGTTGCTCTACTTGTGGATCTCTGCCTTCTTGCTTCATGATCTTCAGCTTCAACTTTGCGGAAGGTCAGCGGAGAAGCTGCCAGGTCTGGGCTGAATTGAGCATTTTTTCCTCATTTGTCGCCTGCTTGCCTTTTGCAAGAAGAACCTACAGGAAGCCAGCAAACTCTGCGCTGTAACAGACGAGAAATGCAAGCTCAATGCAAAGCACTAGTTCCTTGCCTTCATTTTTAAAGCCACTGCTAGGCTAGAAATTTGATAGTTGCATTAAATTTTGATGCTAACTAATGTTGAATTTATTATGTGATTACAGATTGATGAATGTGAAAAGAAAAAGAAGGAAGACTATGAAAGTCAAAGCAATCCTGTTTTTAGGAGATACTTAAATAAGATTTTAATTGAAGCTGGAAAACTTGGGCTTGTGAGTATTTGGTGGTGTGATAGTAATTAGCAGAGTGAATATTTTCAGTATTTCTCAATTTCAAATTATATAAAAAGTAATACAGCATCATTATGCGTTAGCAGACTTCCTGACTCACGTTTTTACCAAGTTATTTATGCAGGATTAAGGTCCTTGCCTGCTTGGCACTAGTTTGGTGGAAGGCAAGCTGTGCAGATGGCTCTTTTTTTTCCAGCTTGGGATTTATTTACCCAGCTGTGTTACACTACTCAACCACTTAATTGAGATGAGGGGATGGGGTGATAATTCTGTCCTGACCCTACTTCTTACCTCTCATTTCCATACATTCTGTCCATAATGTAAGATCATTATACAGAGGGAAAAGGAGAATGTGTGTAAAAGTAGCATTTTCTCCTGGCTGTTTACCATTAACGTACTGCTTTGTAGAATTATGTATCATGCAAATACTGTTCAAATTTCCATTTTTAGAGTGACCTTTCACTTTGGAGAGTCATAATATCAAGAAAACTTGTTTGGTGACATAACTTTTGAAGCTCATTCGAAAGCATATAGGTTTTTTCTTCTTATGGTGTATGCCACCAGAATTGGTCTGGAGAGTCAGAAGCCAGATGATTTTGTCTTGGTCTGGCCATTAGCTGTAGCTACCAGAGGAATTCACAGGGGATCCCTGAGGATGAGGGTAGGCTGGCTGAACTTGCTGGGGTGAATAATTTACTAATCTTGTCTTGGAAGCATAAAGGCAGATGACCTCACCCATACACCTCTAAGGTGAATGTCATAGATGTGCGTAGGCTGGAACCAAACCTAGCTGAGGAAAAGATGGAGCCAAAACATACTTAGGATGGAGATGTTTGGGAAGACTTAGTTCTTGATTTCTAAAAAATGTTAATATTAATCAGTGATAGTTTTTAATGCTTTCTAATGTGATATTGCGTGGTTTTTAAATTTTATGTTTTTTTTTTTTCCTTAAGATTTATTCATTTATTTGAAAGGCAGAATTACAGAGGCAGAGAGAGAGAGAGAGAGAGAGAGAGGTCTTCCATCCACTGGTTCACTCCCCAGTTGGCTGCATCGGTCAGAGTCGGACCAATTCAAAGCCAGGAGCCGGGAGCTTCCTTTGGGTCTCCCATGCAGGTGCAGGTAGGTGCCCAAACACTTGGGCCATCTTCTACTGCTTTCCCAGGCCACAGCAGAGAGCTGGATCAGAAGTGGAGCAGCTGGGACTCAACCAGATGCCCTTATAGGATGCCAGCGCTGCAAATGATGGCTTTACCTGCTGTGCCACAGCGCTGGCCTCAGATTTCGCGTTTTTCAATCTGAATATGCTCTTGGGCAGCCCACTGTTAGTGACTTTGCACATATCCAAGAGTCACCACAAAAACAAGCTGAGGGGCTGGTGCTGTGACCACTAAAGTGCCAGCATCCTATATGGGCGCCATATGGTTCTAGTCCTGGCTGCTCCACTTCTGATCCAGCTCTGCTATGGCCCGAGAAAAGCAGTGGAAGATAGCCCAAGTCCTTGGGCCCCTGCACCCACGTGGGAGACAGGCGGCAAAACATAGCCTCTTCTTTCCAGCTCTAACTGCAACCACAGATCTCTTCTGTGCTCTATGCAATGCTGTATTTTTCACAGGTTTTTGGTAGGGGAATGATTTTGTTGTTTAAAACGGCTCCCAAATGTAGCAGTGAAGTGCTGTTTCATGCCCCTGAGTGCAAGGAGACTGGTCATGCCTCACAGAGAAGGCATCAGTTACAGGCTTTGCTGTGTGTTCAGTGTTGGTGAATCAGCAATGTATATTAAATAAGCATTTTTAAACAAACACAAGGTTATATATTGATTGGTTTATGAGAACTTTGTGAACTGAGGTTTGTAGGACCCTAACCCTGCATTTCCTATGGGAGTAATGGTTCAGTATTTTGCAGTACTTAGTGTTGAGGTGACTTTATAGGATTTTGCTACTGTAACAAGAATCAACTGTGTTTTAGTAAAATGTATGTACTTTTCATAGAGTTCTATCATTCTTAAATGTTTTTCACAGGTGTTCTCTTTGGCCTATGGGACACACAGGATATTACACATATGAAATATTGTAAATTGATTATATGTAGTCACAAATTGGCTTTTATCCTAAATTGCTTCACCAAGTAGTAGAATAATAAAATTCTCTTTTCTGTTATGTTTCTGTTATTTTTGGTAACTGTAATTCAGCCTGATGAGAACAAAGGAGACATGCATTATGATGCCCAGATTATCCTTAAAAGACAAACCTTGTTAGAAATACAGAAGTTTCTCGGTGGAGAGGACTGGAAACCAGGAGCCTTGGATGATGCCCTAAGTGATATTTTAATTAAATTTAAGCTTCATGATTTTGAAGCATGGAAGTGGCGATTTGAAGATTTCTTTGGAGTGGACCCATACAATGTGTTAATGGTAAGGTGGGCTGAGTGACGTGGTTTGTCACATACCTTCAGAACCCTACCCTAATTACATTAACTACAGGAAGTCACTAGTACTGCATTCATGAGCGAGCGGTCGAGTGGTACCAGTGATTCTGTGTATTTTTATTTCTTTGCCAGCAGCATTTTTTGGTGGGGAGGACAGCTTGGCCGTGACCCTGGTTTCTGCTTGTTTTCAAGGTGCTTCTGTGCCTGCTCTGTGTCGTGATGTTGGTAGCTACCGAGCTGTGGACGTACGTCCGTTGGTACACACAGTTGAGACGTCTTCTGTTCATCAGTTTTCTCTTCAGCTTGGGATGGAATTGGATATATTTATATAAGGTATTATATAGGTAGAGGGCTTTTAAATTTTAAGGTGTTTCATTTGTAATTAAAAATATGCTATAGTCTATCCAGAGCAACCTTGCCCAGATGTGAGTTGGAGGTGGTAATTAGGGGCGGTCCATCTAGGGAAGAGTTAAGTTGGCAGTTCACAGCAGTGTATGGCTTTTTTTTTTAAGTCCTTGACCAGTTAGTGGGGGAAAAAAATGCAGTCCTGGTTTTTAAAACCCTGTTACTGTTGGGTAGCATCTGGACAAGCTGGAAAGAGCTAGGCAGCCCTTCCAAAAGATTCCCTTATACGTAATTTGGGGTATGTCCTTTTCTTCTTTGCTAAAAGTGATTCCAAACTATCATTTTTTAAAAATTAAATTATTTTCTGAATATAAAAGTGTGCATGGTAGAAAATTTAGAAGACAAATATATGTAGAAATTAATTTTAATTAATCACCCATGGATAATTACTGTTGCTATTTTGAGGTATTTCTTTCCAATCTTTTTCATAAATTTTAATTCTTTGAAAATTGGGATCATACTGTATATAGGAAATTGGAAGTGTTACTACTATTCCTGTCAAAATATAAAAATCAACGGAGGAAAATGTTAGACTTCCTGGCAGAGTGACTTAAGTAGCAAAGTATTTTCTTTCTTTAAGAGGTAGAATTACAGACAGTAAGAGGGTGAGAGAGAGAGAGAGGTCTTCCATCCGATGGTTCTCTCCCCAATTGGCCGCAACGGCTGGAGTTGCGCCAATCCAAAGCCAGGAGCTTCTTCTGGGTCTCCCACGTGGGTGCAGGGGCCCAAGAACTTGGGCCATCTTCTACTGCTTTCCCAGGCCATAGCAGAGAGCTGCATCAGAAGAGGAGCAGCCAGGACTAGAACCGGTGCCTGTATGGGATGCTGGTGCCGTAGGCGGAGGATTAACCTGTGCCATGGCACCTGCCCCAGTAGCAAAGTATTTTCAAGAAATTCATTGAAATGAATCCTCGTGTTATTTCCTTAACCTTTTTCTCTGAGTTCTATGGCATCTTGAACTAATTCTTTACAAATCAGACACATAGGTTCTGTGTGTAGGAAGTTTGGCTGAATGTTAGTACCTCAGTGACCTCCCCTGGAACTTGATTCGATCTATCAAAGATACAGTATCTTCATATTGGTCTTTTGTGCTGAAAACCATCTGGAGCAAAACACTGTATAAGCATGAACTAAAAGGAAATGAGAAGCAGTAGTTGTATATATTTTTAGGCATAGTATGAACTATGTTTGAGCTAATTATTTAAAACAATCCTTTTAGTAAAGAAGTTTTTCTTCTCCTCTATTAATTACTATGTGGCAATTGTAGTTGGTCCTTTATCCTGTTTGCAATGGCTTTGCTTTCCCGTGATTTGAAAGTAGCTACTCTCTAAAAATCTGTTTTCTCTCTGCGAGACATTGCTAAGCAGTCTGGTGTCTGGGAGCGGTAGACGCCGAGCGCGGGCCCTGTGTCTGTGCGGGCATGCGCGTCCCCGGCACCAGCCTCTCACGATTCTTCTTCCGTGTCGGGCAGCTTGCTTTTGCGCAGCATCAGGCCGAAGTTGCCAAGCTGGAGCCATTTAACGATGTGTGTGCTGAGAAGATGGATTGGACGGGAAGTCTCTGGGGTAAGCTGTTTGTGCACCTGGCCTTCTTGGAGTAGAACTTCTGTGACTGACAGAATGTTAGTAATTTGAAGAAAATGGAAAGATGCCAGAGGAGGTGTTCGGTGACCAAGTCCTCATCAGAAGTATGTGCAAGTAGAGTTTTAGGTTTAAACCAGTGACCTTTGTGTTCACGTAAAGTCACAAGGAAGGAACAGAAATGGCGTATGCGTTGGCTGTGACACTGGCTGTCTGCCCCCATTAGACTTCAGTGAAGATCCATGCTCAGTTTTGTTCACCAGGTCCTGGCATGGTGTCTAGGTCCTCCATAGAAGTTTACTAAGGAAGTGGATGAATGTATGCACGAATGAAGATCCTCAGAGATTTTCTCTCTTCACATTGGCTTATGAAATCTTACCTGTAGCTTTACTTTTTTAACTGAAGGAAAAATTATTTTTTATTCTTAAAAATTTTATAAGCATTGTCACTAATGACCACCTGTCTATCCAGCATTGGGAATGGTTTAATGGTCAAAGGTACTTTATAAATGCAAGTCCACAATGACTGACACGGAGTAAAATCTCAGTGGAGTTTATAAACAGGTGCCAAAATGATCATTTCTTAGGTTGTGGGAACTAAGCCATTCAGTTTTGCTTCTTGGCCTCACAGGGCAATAAAATACCTCCTCTAGCTCAGGCTAGTTTCCAAATGGACATAATTTAGAAAAACTTGTGGGACTGATACTCTATTTTTTTGAAGATTATTTATTTGAAAGAGTTATACAGAGAGAGAGAGGTCTTCCAACTGCTGGTTTACTTCCCAGTTGACCGCAATAGCTGGAGGTACACTGATCCTGAAGCCAGGAGTTTCTTCCTGATCTCCCATGCGGGTGCAGGGGCCAAGGACTTGAGCCATCTTCTATTGCTTTCCCAGGCCATCATAGAGAGCTGGATTGGAAGAGGAGTAGCCAGGCCTTGAACCAGGGCCCATGTCAGATGCCAGCACTGCAGTGGTGGCTTTACCCACTTTGCCACAGTGCTGGCCCCTGATACTCTATTTTTTATAAAATCAGTAAAGAACTGATTTTTGTAATTGAAATTTTATTGAGATAATGGTGGATCTCAGGCAGTTGTAAGAAACAAGATGGAGGGCCGGTGCCGTGGCTCACTTGGTTAATCCCCACCTGTGGTGCCGGCATCCCATATAGGCATCGGGTTCTAGTCCTGGTTGGCTCCTCTTCCAGTCCAGCCCTCTGCTGTGGCCCGGGAGGGCAGTGGAGGATGGCCCAAGTGCTTGGGCCCCTGCACCCACATGGGAGGCCAGGAAGCAGCACCCAGTTCCTGGCTTCGGATCGGTGCAGCACCGGCCGTAGTGGCCATTTGGGGAGTGAACCAACAGAAGGAAGACCTTTCTCTCTGTCTCTCTCTTTCACTGTCTGTAACTCTACCTGTCAAATAAATTAAAAAAAAAAAAAGAAATGGAGATTTCTGTGTACCCATTTTTCCCACAGTGGTAACATCTCACACAACTGTTAGTAGTGCATTGTCAGGACACTGACTTTGATACCATCCACTAATCTTACTCAGATTTCCCCAGTTTAACTTGTCATTTGTGCGTGTGAAAAACTGCTCTTATTTTCCAGAAATCTTTATAAAGTATAACATCTACCTATCACTTATATAATTTGAATGGATTTTTGATTTAAGTAAATATGATTTTGGACATAGATTAAAATTGTTAAAAATCAGCCTTATGGATTATTTTAAATTTAGAACAATTTAAAATGAATGGGTGAGTGGCTAAGAAGGATCAAAATAAAATATCATCTTATTGTGACTTTAAAAAGAGATGCAATGTTTGTCTGTTTCTCTAAACAGAATGGTTTAGAAGTTCATGGACCTACAAGGATGACTCCTGCCAAAAATACTATGAGCTGTTACTAGTCAACCCTATTTGGTTGGTTCCACCAACAAAGGTATAGAATATATTTTGTGAAAATTGCTTTAATATAAAGTATGCTGGAAATCTCATGTATTTATTTTAAAGTGTTTTTTAGATTTGAACTAAAAACAAATTTTTGTGCTGGAAAAAATACTTGTATTTCAGTCATTTTCATATTAAAAGTGAATTTATATAACATAATTTCAGCTTCAGCATGCAGTGAATTTTGGCTTATTCTATGTGTCTGAATTTTTTGAGGAAAAATTAAATTTCTTTTTTGTTTTAGGCACTGGCAGTTACATTCACCAATTTTGTCACGGAGCCATTAAAGCACATTGGAAAAGGAACTGGTGAATTTATTAAAGCGCTTATGAAAGAGATCCCAGTGTTACTTCAGATTCCAGTGCTGATAATTATGGCGTTAGCTGTACTGGTTAGTATATTAACCCTGTTGATATTTATCAAGATTTACCAAAAAGACAGTTGTAAAATTATTAGGCTTTTTTTTTATTTTCTTAAAAAGATTTATTTATTTGAAAGTGAGAGTTACACAGAGAGGAAGAGACAGATCTTGCATCTGCTGGTTTACTCCCAAGATAGTTCCAATGAAGCCAGGAGCCAGGATCTCCATTTGGGTCTCCCATGTGGGTGGCAGGGGCCCAAGCACTTGGACTACCTTCTGCCCGTGTTGTAGGCAGAGGCCTTACCCACTATACCACAACAGTGGCCTCATTAGGCTTCTCTGTTGTAAATCAGACTAAGTCAAGCTTAATAGCACAAGAGGATGATTTAAGTGATACAGATTTATCTATACTTACATGTCCATTCCTTTCATCAAGGAAGTGCTTCTCTAGTTTAATTGTCAATGTCACCGCAAATTAATACATGGAAAGTCAGCCCTTTGTATATCAGTCTGTGTTTTTTTGCAGCATGGAAAGGGAAGAACATTGGTTTAACACCAATTCAGAAAGGGATATGGGGAAGGCCGGGGTACTGGGAAACAGCTGGGGGATCCAGGAGCAGACATTAAGAGGAAACATGGCTCAGCTTTGTTGTTGATTTTCAGCTGTTGACCCAAATAAAGCAGTTGTCACATAAAACAAAAAGTACAGCAGTCGGATGTGCCATGGAAATTTCTCCCTAAGGATGCAAGGTCACCAAGGTCATTTGAAGTTATTCCTTTTTGGTCTTGTTTTTGGCTTGTGATGACAGGATTCCGTAGTTTAGATGTGTGGTTTTGTTAGATGACATTAGTGCCATAGAAGTAGTTGAGTCTCTGAGGCCAATGTTGTAAGCAAAAGCCCTGTCTTACCTTGTTGCTACACCTGTTCCCCAAGAAAAGTTACGTTCTTTGACTTTTGTGCTTCTGTCTTCGGATAGTAGTATCCCTCTACCACAGAGATGTTCAAGCTTTTTGTTTTCAGAACCCTTTTGTATTCTTCAAACTGAAGACCACCCAGAGCCCTTTTGAGCTTATGTTCACCATATCAGCAGTTGAACCTAGAAATCAAGTATATGTGAGCACACATGGCATGAGCAGTCATTGGACAAACGTCAGTCTCCTCCGGAAGGCGCTACTTGCACTCACAAAAGGCGGTGCAAAAGACAAATTATTATGTGAAGTTTTGACCTTGCAGATCCCCTTAAAGAGTCTCTGAGATCCCTGCAGGGGTCCCCAGGCCACCTTTGAAAACTGCTGCCCAGTCTTCCTCATGGAATCTGAGTCAAAGTCATTGAATTTTAGCTGTAACTTAAGCCGAGTCTGTATTTATAAAAAGCCTACAGGAGAATGTGTACATAATGCACAAATGTAAATAATTTTCAGCATTTGTCTTCTGGGCATGAACACAGAAACATCTGAACAGTTATCAGACAACCACAGTCTTCCAACTTAAATTTCTAGTTTTACCCTGCTATTGCGATGGTTGTAATTCAGTCAAAATGTCTAACTGATTGAAATATCTGCTTAATTCTAAGTGATTTATTAAATTTCAGTGGCTGTTCTGTCCCTGTATTAATCTGAAGAAGAGGTCTCTAATGATAAAAACAATGAAATTAAAAGTCTGTATTGCTAAAGGAAGCTAATTAGCTAATTTTGTTAGCATCCTGAATTTAACACCTTATAGCTGCACTGTAAGCTAGAAGTCCTCAGAACGTATTTCTTCCCTGTAGAGTTTCTGCTATGGTGCTGGAAAATCAGTGAACGTGCTGAGACACCTGGGTGGCCCGGAGAGCGACCCTCCCCTGGCGCTGGAGCCAGGCGCCAGACGACCGCGGAAGGAGATTGATTACAGACCCCGTGGTGGAGCAGGTGATGCAAGTTTCTATGCTAGGGGCCAAACTGGCCGCCTTGAGCAAGGCCCTTATGACAGAACGTATGAGGGTAGAAGAGATGTCCCGAGAGAGAGAGATGTCGACTCGAGATTGCAGACTGGCAACAAGAGCCCGGAACTGCTCCAGGCGTTTGACATTCCAGACGCAGAGGCGGGAGAGCAGCCCAAGGTGGTGCGCAGCGTAAGTCGGCAGCTGTTTTGCTCTCCCTTCATACTAGGCCTGAGTGCTTCTTTTACAGCTTTTGATGGAATGTTTTACTCTTTTACCCTCCTTCACTGTTCATTATATCATTAGTGATATAATTAATATCCTCTTCCCCTTCCTGGTCAAAAGTTAGCCCACCTAGCTTAGAAGAAATAAAATGAGATTTACTTGTTAAGCGCTATTTAATGGTCAGTTACAACAGATGGTAAATCATAGAAAATGTCACAAGAAACTGATAGGTGGGCATCCCTGCGATTTCTGCCTTTGACAAGATCGGTGAGGGCATATAGGGAGCCAGCAGGACAGCTCTAAAGGCCTTGCTGGGTGCAAGAGTGGACTGGGGAGGGATCCAAGACCTTGCTCTCCCAACTCTTTTTTTTTTTTTTTTTTTTTTTTTGTCAGTGGATGGTGAGACTACACGTTTTAACTGTAGAATGGTGAGGAGTTTTCACCATTATTGGTCATTTAAAGGAATGTTTCCATTTCTGCTTGAGAAAGAATTTTTATTGTCATTTGTGAAGTTTAACTTGAATCTCTGAGCCTTTGAGAAACGGTTATAAGCACAGTAGAATCCAGGAACTAGAGAACATCTTTCATCGGGATTTCTTATCAAAAGAAACATAGTTCCATGTAACCAGAAAACCCTAAGATGCTCCTGGTTTTTTAGTTAATGGTTATCTGTCACCCCACTCAAAACTCCTCCACTGACTCCCCATCGCACTCGAAGGGAAAGCCAGTTACAGCAGTGGCCTAGGGGCCCTTTGATCTACCCTTCTCCACGTCCACCAGCTCGCCTGTGTCCTGCACGCTCCACGCTCACTGAACCTCGCCCACAGCGCTGCTGACTGTGCCTTCCACTTGCTGTCTCCTCTGGCTAGCCCGCTGCTAATGCACACGTCCCGTTGTTCACTTCTTCAGGCTATTACTCCTGTCACCTTTTCAGATCAACCTACTTTAAACTGCAGTCCATCTTGCCACCCCACCCCACTTCCGGCACTCTTCTCTGCTTTTCTGCATAGCTCTTAATTCAGTAGGTGGTATCAGACCTTCTGAATTTGTTTGCTGCCTGATTCTCTCCCCAGCCTGTCAGTTCCAGAGCAATGTTTGTGCTTTTTTTTTTTTTTTAAAGATATATTTATTTATTTGAAAGACAAGAGTTGGAGAGGGAGAGACAGAGAGAAAGGTCTTCCATCTGCTGGTTCACTCCCCAAAAGGCCAGAGCTGGCCTGATCCGAAGCCAGGAGCTTCTCTCAGGTTTACCACGTGGGTGCAGGGGCCCAAGGACTTGGGCCATCCTCTACTGCTTTCTCAGGCCATAGCGGAGAGCTGAATCAGATGTGGAGCAGCCAGGACTCGAACCAGTGCCCATATGGGATGCTGACACTGCAGACAGCAGCTTTACCTGCTGCGCCACAGCGCCGGCCCCTGTGCTTTGTTCTTTGTACCCTTAGCCCTAGAACATATGTGTATGTATGAGTTGCTGAGTGAATTATTCTCACTAGGCCAAGAGGAGGTGGAGATATTGGTCACCAATCCTTTTTTTTTTTTTTTTGAAGAATACTTAGGGGTGGGCGCTGTGGCATAATGGGTAAAGCCACTGCCTGCAATGCCAGCATCTCATATGGGTGCCGGTTCAAGTCCCAGCTGCTCCACTTTCAATCCAGCTCTCTGCCGTGGCCTCGGCAAGCAGAAGATGGCCCAAGACCTTGGGCCCCTGCATCCACGTGGGAGACCTGGAAGCAGCTCTTGGCTTGGCTCAGCTCTGGTTGTTACAGCCATTTGGGGAGTGAACCAGAGGATGGAAGACCTCCCTCTTTAACTCTTTCAAATAAATTAAAATATTTATAAATAAAAATATTTATTTATTTATTTGAAAGTCAGAGTTAGAGTGAAAAGAGATAAAGAAAGGTCTTCGATTTGTTGGTTCACTCCCCAGATGGCCACAACAGCCAGAGCTGGGCCAGACAGCAGACAGGAGCTTCATCTGGGTCTCCCATGTGGGTGGCAGGGATCCAAGCACTTAGGTTATCTTCCGCTGTTTTCCCAGGAGTATTGGCAGGGAGCTGGATCAGAAGTGGAGCAGCTGGGACTCGAACCAGCACCCATATGGGATGCCGGTGCCACAGGCTGCGGTTTACCGTGTTACACCACAGGCCAGCCCACCAATCCTCTTGACCCCTTCTATGCTGGGTACTGGGCCACGTAGGCTGTCTGAAGTGCCCCACCCCTCCACGTACAGCTCTGTGAGGCTTCACATTTAGATAATTATGATCTAGCACTGGAACCAGGATTTGAAAGAGTTTGGGGCTTGCTGTAACAGATTTGGGTAGGAGATTGTTATTGAGACTTGATGACTAAACTTTCAGCGAAGTACTAACAGAATTTAAAACAAAATGTAATTTTGTACTTTATAGCATAACTCACCTATTTTGGATGCAAAGCCCAAAGAGACTGGTGGAGTCCCAGGAGAAAGCACGCTGGCGGAAAGCAGCAAGTCTGCTAAGCCTGTCTCTGGCCAGGCGAGAGCAGGGAATACGGACGGTTCACCTGCAGTGGTAAAGGCCGAGCTCAAGGCCGAAGCCAGCCCACCGGAAGGCGTGGTCGACAGCGTGGCCGGCTCTGCAGCTGGAGCGTGTGGCAAGGAGACGGCCAGCAGTCCGTGTGGCTAGGGCAGCACGGCGACAGCGCTGGAGACTTCTTTGGGTTTTGTATTCTTTAAACAACTTCTATTCACTTTATTTACTATAAAGGTGCCAACTCAATATTTTAACTACAGTCAATTAACAAATGTATGTATATAAAAGCTTCTGTTTCTTCTCTTGAGCTAAAATACACTCTAAAATTTTGAAGTGTTTGTTTTAGGACAGGCACTCACTGAATTTACATTTTAAGTTGAACATATGGCAGGCAGCCCTGATTCTGGATAATTGAGGTGACTAGTTTGTGAAAACATTAAGAAGAAATTCTATTGTTTACAGGTGTTTATGGGGATTGGCTACCACAAGTGGGTGTAGCCCAGTAGCAGTCAGGAAATACCTGTTTTAATTTACGGAGTTACTCCTTTGTTCTGCACTGGATTGACAGTGGTCCAGTACCCTAGTCAGAAACTGCCTGTCAGGGAAGTCTGCTTAGGGCAAGCTTGGCTCCGAACCACCACCCTTGTAACGCAGCTGTGGAGCACGTGTGCCCGGCTCAGTCCCACGGACGCCTCAGCTGCTCTGCAGGCTGCACACACCAGGGTGCCTAAGTGTCTTCTCTCTGCAGCCATTGAGGAGCTGCTTCCTTGTCGTGCCTCTTACTGTAGGCTTAGCTTAGAATTGAAGACAAGCAGGGCACTTTAGATAATAGAGCTTGTGGTACTGGAAACCCAAGTTTTACATACTCCTTAGACGGAGAGTGGCACAGATTTACTTGTTCCTCCAAACCCTAGCACATGAGACCACTGGGTGTTACGTTATTTTATCTGTTTTACAACAAACTTGTCTTGCTTGCATGGAGTTCTGGTTTTTAGAGATCTATGCATAGAGCAGGATCCCCTAAGGAAAACAGTGAGGTGTTCTCCTGCAGATAGGTCATCGATCAGCACTTTTAATTACATTTTCTGATGTCCACAAGTTCTTCCCTTTTTACAAATCTTGTACATGTTGCTAGATGACAGATTTCACACATGATCAAGTGTCCTTTGCTTTAACCATATTCACATTAGATGTTATACTCAATTGCTTACTAAGAGTGATACCAGTCAGAAATAAATTTTAAAATTTCCACCCAGGCATTTGTTTCAGGAAAAGACAAAGTATTTGCTTTTTAGTATTTTACATGGAATGTAGAATATCCCATTTTGGCTATCAGAGTATTACTTAGTTGCCTGTGACAATTTAATTTTAATGTTAATATTATTTTCTCATTTGGTATTGCAAACATCCTTAGGGTTTTCATCAGAAGAGTATTCTTTTTTTTTCCCAAGAAATACAATTGTATTTTAGATTGATTCAGAGCACAACAGGCTTGCAACAAATGAATTAATGAAAGGATGCCGGCAGTTCAGAGTAGATTTGTGAACCTATTGATGAGTCTAAAGTCATCCCCTCTGGGGTTGGAGCTGTTCACATTTCAGGGTGAATGTGCTCCCACGCGGGGAGTTGTCCTCTGTGCTGTGGTCTGGTTCACAAGAGAGCTGAAAGCCTCAGGGGGCAGGCCGTAACGGAGAGGAGTTGCTGTAGCGCATGCTCCGCACTGCTTTTAATCCAAAAAGGAATCCTTTTTTTAAAAAAAATTTCTTTTTAATTTCTTCTTTGTATTTTTTTCCATTACAGATACCCATTTGGGGGATGAAAAGCACTGTAACAGCTAGCAAGGCAACATGCTACTGCTGTTGAACAATGACAGCTGTTCAAACTGTACCTGTCAAGGCCAGCATAAGGCTTGCTAAGTTGAATAGCCAATATTTGTCTTTAAATTACGGCTTAACAGTAAGAAGCGCTCACGAAATCAGAACGGGGAGAATAGCTGTTAAAAGCAGTTTCAAAATGGAATAATGTTGAATGTTTACAGGGTGCAATAACCATTGTATACACGAAATAAACATGTATTTTTACACTATCAAGATTTGGTATATTGTTTGCTTAGTGACTTTTCTTATAAGAAAAAGCCCCATGAAAGTTATCTGCATGGCTTTTAAATGATGCTAGCCAGGACAACATACCTTATACATAACATATGTGAAAGGTTAGGGAATCTAGGTTTTAACTGAGTAGTTTTGATAATTTTATCTCAGGACCAAGAATTTTTTTCTTTTTCTTTTTTTTTTTTTTGCTGATGGATAATTCCAGGCTGTGGCTGCATAATAATTTTTTAAAAATATTGGCCATTTAGGGAAGTGGTTCTTACTGAATGATTTTGTGAATGGACAGAGCCCCAGATTTCCACAGCCCATCTCTGCTGTGCAGTCAGAAGTAATCGGAGTCGGAGTTGCCAGCTTGTTCTGGCTGAGCATTCACATTGTGTAATCCGGGCCCTGCTCTGTCCCATTCTCCTCTTTCGGCTATCCTTTGTTGTCATCTCCGGTTCTGTACCCTTGGAGATGGCCTTCAGTCTCTAGGGCAAGGAAGGGTAGGGTTCACAACAGCTAAGGTCCCAAATGACATTTCATACTTCATTTCTTCTGAGTTTTCATCTGTTTTCTCTTTGTGGTCTAGTTTTTCTTTGATTTTGTTTATGTTCATCTGCTTCAGAGAGAGCTTCCATCCACTTGTTCACTACCCACATGCCCACAACAGCCAAGGCTGGTCAGGTGAAAGGAGCCTGGAACTCCATCTGGCAGAGGCCCAAGCACTTGAGCCATCATCTGCTGCTTCCCAGGATGCATTAGCAAGGAGCTCGATCCAAAATGAAGTAGCTGGGGGGGGGGGGGGGGTGCTGTGGTGCAACGGATTAAAGCCCTGGCCTGAAGTGCTGGCATCCCATATGGGCGCCAGTTCTAGTCCCGGTTGCTCCTCTTCCGATCCAGCTCTCTGCTATGGCCTTGGGAATGCAGTGGAGGATGGCCCAAGTCCTTGGGCTCCTGCAACCACATGGGAGACCTGGAGGAAGCTCCTGGCTTTGGATTGGCACAGCTCCGGCTGTTGTGGCCATCTGGGGAGTGAACCAGCGGATGGAAGACCTCTCTCTCTACCTCTTTGTAACTCTTTCAAATAAATAAAATAAATCTTAAAAAAAAAAAAAAAGCAATAGTAATTCTCAAAATGTCAATTCACTCCTGTACATTACATATTACATTAAAAAAAAATGAAGTAGCTGAGACTAACTGGCAATTTGATACAGGATACAGGTGTCCCAAGGGGTGGCTTAACCGACCTTGGCTTTTGTCATTTTTTACATTAGATCTTATAAAAGTTTATTTTATAGCAGTATTATACAACAGAAGAGACAAACTACCCAAAACATGTGGAAAGCAGTTTATTTCTTGAGTTTTTCTATATATATATATATATTTTTTTTTTTTTCAAAGTAATAAGGTTTTATTGAGGACAGAGCACTCATCAGAATGAAGGGGATAGAGAGTGCCCAGTCACTCGGACCAGGGGAAGGAAGGTTACGTGGTTGAATGGAGAGAATACACCTGGGCAGGCCAGGTGGTGGCTCAGCTGAGCGCTTGAGTTTCTTTTACATTGGCTAAAAATATTGAAAACAGATTTTCTTAGAGAAACCTAGTTTTTTTTTTTTTTTAAACAAGACTATCTTCTATAACTTTTTTACACTGGTCAAGTACATTATTTTTATTAAACTGCATAAATCCCCACTATATCCATGGTTAAGTATAAAAAATGTCATCAAGATTTTTAAAAACCTCAGGGTTAAATTCTACTCTAGTATTCATTTAAATTGTCCTTCACAGACACTAGTAAGTGACTCTAACAAGTTGCCACAGAACAACCCCAAGCAGTGGTCACAAGCTCAAGCACCTGGCGGACACCTCTGCCCTGAACCAGGCAGTGCCGGGAAGAAATGAACTCTTCACCCTAGGACAGAAGGGAGGTACTGACATCGTTCTCAACACATTTGAAGCTGTTTTACAGTGCTATCAATTCTCCTTTTAAGGAAAAATAATAGATTGAATTTCCTTGCAGTGTCCTGAAAGGGAATACGATCTTTTCTTTAAAAATACCCATAGTACTCAGTGGTTCGCCCATTACTTTCCTGGATTTTGTAATTCCAGCAGAGCATTGCTTTGCAAAAGGTCCTTTAGTCCAAATTCAGCGTCTCTGTTTTGATCTCTTTGTAGGAGAACTCTCTGTTCATCCATTCTTTTCGCCTGAGATCGTAAAATAAGGCTGAAAAAGTCTTCATCTGGTACCGTGGGGCCCTTTGTGGTGGCGGGTGGTGGTGCGCATCTTTGATCATCTAATCTGGACCCCTGAAAACGCATAAGATGGGAACAGCAGGTTGTATTACGTCTGTCAGTCATAACAAGAAAATGCAGCTATAAACTTTTTGCCTCACCTGATAGTTTTCTATTTAAAGTGACTTAGAATACATGCATATATATTATCAGAATAAGCATTCCATAAACGTCTAGCTGTATAAGTACTATGTAAAAGTGAGTGTACCATGTGAAGTCATTTATTTTAGTTATACTTGGTCACAGGAATAATCTGGGTTAAAGTGCAAGGTCAAATGTATACAAATCTGGCAGTTCAAGACTAATCTTACCATAATATGTACCAACAATATAACTTAGCATATTTTTAGAAATGTAATGCTGTGTACAAAAACTCTGAAGCACTAACTTAAAAAAACGCTATTTTAGACAGCGCCCTATATCCCCAATGCCTGCCTTTATAGATAGTTTTGTTTTCATTTCATCCCCAAAACAGGCGACTCTCCTCCTGTAAGGGCAAAGCTGAGCCATCACAGCAGAGCATGTGGCCTACAAATGCCAGCATTTTTGCCATCTGGTCCTTTATAGGAAAAGTTTGCCTATCCTGTCTTAGGCCCAATAACAGTTTGAACTAAAATTTTCCTTCAACTTTTAATCTTTATTTTTTTAAAGTAACAATGGTACATATTTATGGGCTATAGTGAATGTATGTAGCATCTCAACCCATGTATACAGTGTACATTGATCCAATCAGGGTAACTACCATTTCCCTTTCTTTGATATTATGATTGAAATCATGGAGTTCTTTTCCTTCTATTTGCTCCTAAAATATAAGTTATAACCTTATTGGTCCCTTTATTACAAGAATATTAGATATATTATTATTCAAATAAAATATAAGCATTTAAAACCATACAATGTCGCAGGCAGAGTTAGAGACAGACAGAAAGTTCTTCCTTCCATTGGTTCACCCTCCACATGGCTACGCCCATCCGAAGCCAAGAGCCAGGTGCTTCCTCCTGGTCTTCCATGGGGTGCAGGGCCCGAGGACTTGGGCCATCCTCCACTGCCCTCCCAGGCCACAGCAGAGAGCTGGACTGGAAGAGGAGCAACTGGGACAGAATCCGGCACCCCAACTGGGACTAGACCCGGGGTGCCCGTGCCGCGTGGAGGATTAGCCTAGTGAGCTGTGGCGCTGGCCTGACAGTTTTAGTTCTGATGCTTAGGACCCTCATCCATTTTGAGTTAACTGTTGTATATGGTGTTGGGTAAGAGTCCACCTACATTCTTCCTGTGTGTTGCCAGGATTTATTGATGAGTCTATCCTTTCTCCCACTTAATGATCTTGGTGCCTATGATGTGACTGTCTCCCACAGTTCATGGGTTGGGGCCTGGCAGGTGGTGATAATGGATGAATTTCTTTAGTAACTCACTTCTCTGGAATAAAGGGGGGGGTGGTTATAAAAGTGACTTCAGCCGCCTCTTGCTTATTGCCCCTGCAGTCTCTTGCCCTTCACCGTAAGATGGCACAGCATAAAGGGGCTCACCAGATGCTGGTACCATCTTTTAGACTTTGCAGCCACCAGAACTGCAAGCCAGATTTCTATTCATTGTAAATTACACAGGCTACAATATTCTGTTAGCACAAAAGGAGTAAGACAGCACTCTTGTTAAATCATTTCACCATATACACAGGAATTTATGTCTGGGCGCTCTATTCCATTGGTCTGTGTGTCTGTATGACAGTACCACACTGCAGTATAGCGTGTTTGGAAATCAGGAAGTACAAATCCTACAGCTTTGTTGTTGTTTCTCAAGATGTTTTAATATTTAGGGTCTCTAGAGATTTCACAGTAATCCTGGGGTGGGTTTTTCTATTTTTGAAGGGATCACATTGATCTGTAGATCACCTTGGGCAGTGGTGAAATTTTAGTAATAAATCTTCCAATCCAAGAACATAGTATGTCTTTCCATCTATTTGTTTTCTTTAATCTTATACAGTAGAAACTATATAAAACATTGCTGTAAAAGTCTTTTGGTAATTTTTCGGTAATTTTTTGATACTATTTTAAATGGAATTATTTAGTTTCCTTGATTTCCTTCTCAGTTCATTGGTAGGGTACAAAATGCAACTGGTTTTATGTATTTGAAAGGAGGACAGGGATATCTGATTTGTTGGCTCATTCCACAAATGTCTACAATAGTTAGGGCTGGGCCAGGCCACAGCCAGAAGCTGGACACTGACTCTCATGTGGGTTGCAGGGACCCAAACACGCAAGGTGAGTGTTAGCTTGAAGCTGGAATCAAAAGCCAAGCTGGTATGAGATTGTGGGTATCACATAATGGGCTGTTGGCGTTGCTAGTGGCAGCTTTACCTGCTATGCCACAGTGCTGACTCCCATTTCATTTTCTGAGTATTCTAGTTAAATGTACATAAAATAGAACTCTTGCTTTTTTCCCCAAACTCACTTTTCCTCTAGTTTCCATTGTAATAGGCACCATTCATTCACCCACTTATTCATGCCAAAAGTCTGTCTTCTCTCTTTCCCTCATTCTCTCCCTTCAGTTTATTAGCACTTCTTACCCAGCAACTGTAGCTTCAAACTATCCCTATTCTAGGTGCAGATCACTACTACTGCTACCCGGTGTGAGTCACCCTTTGCCTGGTTTCTAGGCTACGACGCTGGCCACTCTACTTGGCTCCACCAGGAGCCAGGATGCTCCTG